ATTCTCCCAGCTTCCAAGTAACATTGGGTAAAGAGGCAGGCAGGACACTCTTGTAGCTAGCATTTTATCTTGGACAGTAAAAGGAGAGATTATTGTTGCTCATCCTATTCATTAATGCAGAACACCTGAGATTAAAAGTGATCATTAAAGAAGCCTCCACTTCTCTCTGGCACAACCAGCTTCACCAAATTCCTCAAGTCAGAGACGGTTAGTTCATCTGAGGGTCTTAACATTGGATATGAGAAAGTGACTTATAATACCTCCATGCAGGTTAGTTTCTGTCAACCTGACACATGCTAGAGTAACCTGGAAAGAGAAAGCCTCAAGTGAGGAACTACCTCCAACTGGGCTGTGGGGGATTTCCATGACTGACAACTGATGTGGGACCATCTAGCACACTGTGGACAGTGTTAGCTCTGGGCGGGTGCCTGAGTTATAGACAAAGCCAAGCTGGGAAACCCACGAAGAGTAGTCTGGGAAGCAAACCAGTAAGCAGTGCTCTCCTGTAGTCTCTGCTTCAGTTCTTACCTCCAGATTCCTGGTTGAGTTCCTGCTCTAAGTTCCCTCAATGATAGATGATGACACAGCCAAAGAAGCCCTTTCCTCCCCAAGTTAGTTTTGGTACTGTTTTTATCACAGCAACAGACAGTAACTAATACAACTTCAAAATATGAAGTCAGGTTCGTCAAGAGTCAGAAAGGCCCTAATCTACTTGCTAAGACAAATTCTTGCTAAGACAGATTTTTTTAAAAAGCAAACAGCAACATTCTTGATGTCCAAAAAATTGCAGAACACCATTCCAAAGTCTCAAAGGGAAAAAAATGCATTTAAACATGTCTTCACAGTACTCAGACGTCAAAGGAAAACCCAAAGGCTATTGGGAAACCTCAGCAAATGGACACACATCTCTGAAACTATAGCCAAGTGACGGAAAGAGGATGGTGACTGGTATTAAAGAGGTTAACAGCTACTATAAAGGTCTCCTCTACCAGGTACAATCCCAAGTCACTAAAGGTAATTTTCATAGTAGGAGACAAACTGAGGCACAGAGAAAAACAGGCTTACTTAACAAACATAAAACACAGCAGTGTAATTCAAATTTGAATCCCAAGACCACACTGCCTGATACCTACAGCAAAAGTAAAACTGCAAAATGGCATACAAATCTACAACCAAAGGGGGAAAACACTGATGTTTGAGGGAAAGCCAACAGGCAAAGCAATTAGACAAGCAAAGAAGTTGCCCACCACTGAGAAATAGAAGGACAAGACCAACATAAGAGCAAAACAAGTGTGCGGGTGACTCAATCAATACACCCGATTTCTCTTACAAGCTATACATTTTCATGATAGTGTGTGTCCATTCATCCTGCTACATGCAAAATTTTAAGTAGAAAAATGGAAGTAGGGAAGTAGGGAAGAGCTAGTATTGAAAGCCTGGAAATTCACAGTTACTATCCATCAGAGTTGGGATTTTCAAGTTTCCTGTGTGGGCTTCCCTTTTGCACATAATCTGTCTGAGGCAAGGAAGATACCTGGGAAGGCAGGCGGTGCACCACCTTAAGACAGCAGAGTGAGGTCCAGACCAGGCAGCTGAAACACAGCTACACTCTGCCTCTAAGCAATACTGCCTCCAGCCCCATATTATTGAATTTCTTTGAAGAAATGAAAACAAATAGAGCTAAAGTAATAATCAAAATTATAACTGAAGCAAACATATAAACTTTCCTGAAATGAAAGCAACTTTAATAACTCAAAAGAGTTACTGTGTTGCAGATGAAATTAATGACAACAGATAAGAATGAGACGTAGGATAGCAACTGGATTACAAAGGCCATGTTTATTATTTTTGTTTTTGTTATTACTATTATTACTAGCCAAGCTATGGAGGACAAAAGGTGTTTTTAAAGATTTCTTAAAGAGCAAAAGCAGGCTGACCAACAGGGATGCTGCAAGTGTCAGAAGAAGCAGGCATTCTCTCTAAAATCTGGAAGAAAATCTTTCAACCTAGAATTTGTTTTGTTAAATCAGTATACTCTATATGAAGTCATCTTACATAGGTGAGAAAATAAACCCTATCCTGAAAGTTGTATATGAATCCATGCCACCAAAATGAACCTACAGACACAAATGCCTTGTATAACTGTGAATCTCAAAAGCAGAGCTCAAACACAGAGAAGCCATGAGAAAGAACTGAGCACAGACTGAATATAAGTAAACTTCAACCAACTATTAGAATGATGATTTTAAAAACCAATGCAATTATCAAAGATAAGCAGTGAGATAAATACAACTATTGAATATGAGTCCTAATAAACCAATGAAAGCCAAAGCTGTGAACAGTCACTGAAAGACACACTTGACCTCAGGGAAGTCCTTCTGTTCTTATGGCGGCTAACCACTTCATACATCATTTTATACAGCCTCCCAATTTTCACAACACTGACTACTGGGCAGGGTTGACTTACATAAATATATGTACTGGGAGATTTCTTTATGGTTCTATTCATGCTAAAAAAAAAGATGTGGAGAATAAAACACTTCAAAATACATCATGAAACTACACAAAAACAAGACAGATCCACATGTTTTCTAAACCAGGAGAGCATAGTGTTAAAGGATGCAATGGGAACTCTCAGGCCATCACATGACAGAGCAGATGAGTAAATGAAAGATTCCACTATAACACATTACTAATAATTCAACAGTCAAAGTGCTGGAATCCCCAATGAATGTCTCTAATTGGAAAACTGAACACTCTTACTTGCCCAGCTAGTTTAAAAGAAACTGCTACCTGCTAATAAGTTCAGAAATAATTAGGCATTTAAGTAAAGAAAATTAAAATGAAACTTTCTTTACAAATATATGCACAAAAATGTTTCAACTGTGTAGATAATTCTTTTCCATTTCCACACAAACCAACACTTCCGTTAACTCTTTCTTGGACATGTGTTCATCTCAGAATTTCACAAAGTACTATAAACTTGGACAGTACTTTCTGAAAAGTGATAGTATTCTGTGTTTCAAAAGGCTTCGGGGCAAGATGAAGCTGAGATAAATAAAATGCATCTGTGTATGTCGAGAGGATTTGTGTTGCTCTTGTGAAAAGATCGATGGGGGTAGCACTATTGATAGAGATGGAGTAGCAGTGTTGATAGAGATGGGGTAACACTGTTAATAGAGATGGGGTAACACTGTTGATAGAGGTGGGGTAGCAGTGTTGATAGAGATGGGGTAGCAGTGTTGATAGGTAGAGATGGGGTAACAGTGTTGATAGAGATGGGGTAGCACTGTTGATAGAGATGGGGTAGCACTGTTGATAGAGATGGGGTAGCACTGTTGATAGAGATGGGGTAGCACTGTTAATAGAGATGGGGTAGCACTGTTGATAGAGATGGGGTAGCACTGTTAATAGAGATGGGGTAGCACTGTTGATAGAGATGGGGTAGCAGTGTTGATAGAGATGGGGTAGCAGTGTTGATAGAGATGGGGTAGCAGTGTTGATAGAGATGGGGTAGCAGTGTTGATAGAGATGGGGTAGCAGTGTTGATAGAGATGGGATAGCAGTGTTGATAGAGATGGGGTAGCAGTGTTGATAGAGATGGGGTAGCAGTGTTGATAGGTAGAGATGGGGTAGCAGTGTTGATAGAGATGGGGTAGCAGTGTTGATAGGTAGAGATGGGGTAACAGTGTTGATAGAGATGGGGTAGCACTGTTGATAGAGATGGGGTAGCACTGTTGATAGGTAGAGATGGGGTAACAGTGTTGATAGAGATGGGGAAACAGTGTTGATAGAGATGGGGTAACAGTGTTGATAGAGATGGGGTAGCAGTGTTGATAGAGATGGAGTAGCAGTGTTGATAGAGATGGAGTAGCAGTGTTGATAGAGATGGGGTAGCCGTGTTGATAGAGATGGGGTAGCCGTGTTGATAGAGATGGAGTAGCAGTGTTGATAGAGATGGAGTAGCAGTGTTGATAGAGATGGGGTAGCAGTGTTGATAGAGATGGAGTAGCAGTGTTGATAGGTAGAGATGGGGGCAGCACTGTTAATAGAGATGAGAATATCCTCTTTTGTGCTGAGTATATTGTTTTTAATTTACTCATCTTAATGGCCCATTGAATTCAGAGCACTAAAAATATATAAAATTAGATTAGGAAATCTCTATTCACTAAGGAATACATAAACTTACATAATGATTTTTAATGCAATCTCTTCTTAAACTGATATTTTAGAGAAGTGGCTTAAATATTCTGCATTAGGATTTTATCACTGCACGTGAACATTAGAAAAGACTTCCATCGACTTAAAAACAAAGAAGATATTCTTGCAAGTGGAAAATCAATCATCACAACCACTAAATGTCACAGCATACCATCAGCAAGAAGCACTGATAGTTGTTAGCTATCTGCTGCACCAATGATGTATGTCCTTGGTCCAGGAAGTAGGTGCCAGGTTTTTAGAAAACTGTACATATATTGATTTTACATTTATTTAATGTGGCCATTGTAAGACACTTTATTCTTCTGATAAACTATGATTGCTTATCAAAAGATTCTATAATTCAAGAGTAACATTCATAACTTGTGTTTTAAAATGAAAACCACCAGCCCACAGAAATCATGCCCACAAAATCCAATTTTGAGGATTTATGGCAGAAAAGCATTAAACTACTGTCTTGCAGGAACTGCAGACTAGTCACTGGAGTCAAAGTGGCACAGCAGTAATGATTAAAGGGGTGCGTCACCCTGCCACAGCTGTTAATCAGCTTAATACTAGTTAGGTTATTGACATTCTTGTAATTACTTTTCCTAAGGCACATTTGGGCAAAATATATTTTATTTTAATTATGAGCAATCAAAAGCAAGACCAATACTGAAAAAGAATAATCAAGGCTCTCTGCACACAGGTGTAAAGTAGGCAGAGAGCGTCCAATCACTTGCATGGGTAAAACCCAGCAGTCACTGCCCAACCAACTGTGCCCGTGAGCACTGCACACTTACCTTGCCGTCCTCTGAACACACTCCCATGTGCTCTCCGCTTTCATCCAAGCTAATCTGGTTTATCTTCACAGGACTCTATCAAAGACAAGCAAAAGATGGAATGGAAAACATTTCAACAATCAGATACCTTTAGTCTTTGTAAAGCTGGCATAACATGAATTGTTTATCAACTTCATGAATTAAGGTGTACTTTGTTCCGAGATGAACATATTACCATCTAAAATACATTAAACATACAGCTTTGTTCCTACACTCAGTGGGAACCCAGAAACCCATAAGCGCCACAACTTTTCTTTCATATACCTGGAGTATAGTGAAAACATTACTTTTCAGAATCTTACATTTCTTTCCATCTGTTTTACTTACTTCATACCCTTACAGTTATCTTTCACAACCAAAATCTATTAAAAGAAGAAGACAAACAAAAAAATTAAGAATGTCTGTCAGTACATAAAATCATTTTTTGCTTGTTTTAGTTGGCTTAATCAATCTGTTTCTTCCCTAATGAATAACCAGATTAACATTTCATTTTTACTCTATTCAGGAAAACCATAGCCTACATCACATTAATTAATTTTGCATCCCTTCTCCTTTTACATAATTTCAAATTTAGTTTCTTTTCCAAAAATTAAATTACAATTGCATTTTAAATCTCTATGTAGCTAATTGTTTACTTACTAAAATATTTACACAGAGGCTTTTCTAATAAAGTCAAAACTCAGTGACCACTGGCAGCATCACACAATAGCTTTTCCTTTCATTCCTAAATAATGACAAGTTCCAAGTACCTTCCCCAAAGCTCATTGCAGCAAACCAGGAAATAGAGTGAGTCCATAGCAGTTAACAACAAAAGAACACATGTAGAGTTTAAAATTACCCCATTTGCCTTGTTGATGAGATAAAGGGAAATGCACAAAACAAGTGCTGACTCTTCAACAGGAAAGTATCTCGTCGTCATTAAGGAAAGGTCAGGGCACAACAAGATCCCCACACTTTACAAAGGCTACATACTGGACTGATGGCTGAGACAAGTTCCCAAGCAATCTGGCTACAGAATCCTTTCACATCTGGACCCCTAAATCACCACGCAACACTCTGAAATGCAGTCCAAGAAAACTCAGCTAGTTCTAAAAGTTTCCAGCATGTTAGGCAAGGAAAAGGTCACTGAAGACAGGTGGTCCACTGTAGAGGAGAATGAACTGACACCCATGCTAAAGACCCACAGCAGGAATAAGAGGAGACTCAGAGTGCACAACTGTGAGAAAGGGCTGACGAGGAGAAGGGCTGCACGGTCGGTAAGGAAAATGCTAAGACAAAGAAAGGCTGCCCTGGGAAAGCACTGAGCAGACAGCATGGCTACAGGGCTGAGCACCAGCCAGAATGTCAGCCCCATAGCATTTTGGGGATAAGCAATTCCTCAAGTTGCTCATCTTCCATTCAGATCTTTCATTAAACATTTTATATCCATTTTATACTTGGCAAGTATAAGCTATATTATACTTTAACTTTAGGCATCTGTTACGACAGCCAACCATGGGTGGGTGTGGTCTACTTTTTCTTCCTCTTATGAATAGAGCACTGTCCACAAGTGACCAAAGAAATAATATTTGGGGCCAGCGAGATGGCTCAGCCATTAAAAAGGCAAGGGTTATAATAAAAACATCAAGATTATATTACTGAAAAATAAATAAAATTAGAATTTCAGTTCTTAAATCATAGTAATGCATATCAAAGATTTGAAAACCATACATGACTGTACTGAAATGTGGTCACCATATCTTCCCATTATGGAAAATTCCAGGGGACAGTGTATCTGACACCTCTAAAACTAAATCTAAGTACTGAACGCAACCAATGCCAAGACTCTATTATAAGACCTTTACTGCAAGTTATAAATCAGAACTAGATCTTCATTCCATATAGTGCCAAGTTTGGTATACTCTACTCCCAGATTTTTGTTACGAAAAGGGCCATGGCCTAAGTAGTCCCTGAATCACGCTTACCAATCCCCAAAATGGGGTCTATGCTTTATTAGATACCCAATTTTTGAAGAAAGTGGTGAGCTAAGGAGAGGTGTCTCCGTTTCACATAAGGAAAAATGAAGCTTCAGTTTTTCTGTGTGATCCAAGGCCTACTACCTAGCTAATGAATCCAATGGTATCTCGAGAGCAGATCAACCAAATTTACCATGACACACCTAACAGAAACTGTACCATATTACAAGGAAAAAAAAAATAACACCTACAAGGTAACCGACAGCCTATTAGCAACAAATACCTTAAAACTTTCCAATAGTCGTTGATTCAATCCCCTGACTACAAATAAACTTAAGTCTTTCCCTTTAGTCTACTGGGCAATTTAGCTGATCTCTATGAAGTACTTATTTAAATCCTTTTCACATTTTTTTCTATTAAGATATTTCTTGGAGCTTGAGTGATGATGATGGCTCAGGGATTAAGAGGTCATAATGCTTTCAGAGCACTCAGGTTTGCTTCCAAGCACCCACATGTGATTTTTTTTTTCTCTTCAAGATGGTTACTGCTTTATTCATTGTATCATTACCTTGAGTCATTTCAGAAATCATTTTATTTTCCTGCAAAAAAGGTACCAGTTGAGCTAGCCCCAGGTATGAAATAATTTGTCCTTCTATTCCCAAAGAAAAATGTGCTTACCATACTGTGTAACATGAGGGCCTGCTCATTGGAGTTTATGTCTTGCCCAGTTCCCCACAGCTAGCAAGTCCCAAAGAAAATCAGAGATCTCCATAAGCTATAAAACTGATTGGTCCCATTAGCTCAGGCTACTTATTAGCTCTTGTAGCTTATATTAACCCATTATTCTTATCTATGTTAGCCACATGGCTTGGTACCTTTCTCAGTGGGGCAGCTCACATCTTGCTCTCCGGTGGTCTGGGCAGAACTGCAGAGGGAGCTTACAATTCTCCTGTTCTCACCGCCCCACCTCTACTTCCTGTCTGGTTGACCCACCTATACTTCCTGCCTGGCCAATCAGCATTTATTTAAAACATGATTGGCAGAATACAGACAATTCTCCCATACCAATACTGTAGCTATTTCTATACAGAGACAACTTTCTGAGATTTTAAGTGAGTTCTCTCCAGCCATGTTCCTATCAGTTCCACATTGATTTCATTAGTAAATCTGCATATAGCATGTCCTGGCATCTTGGTAAGACAGGCCAGTCAGAACTTCCTATATTGCCCTTGACTTCTCTCAAGCACTTGTCCTGCCATTTCTACAGCTTCTCTTCTCCTTGGCACTTGACACTTCTCATTTACCCCATCATCAGCTGCATGTTCGCTAGCTTACATATTAATTTCATGATTCTTTGAAGAATGAAAAACTATAATTGTATAAATACCTCCAAAGATCAGAATAAGAAAATACTTCTCAACTTACTTTACTTGGCCTGTACAAACCCCCAGTAACAAAATTAGCAAGTACATCATGGGGAAAGTACAATCATGGATCTAAATGGAAAACCCTGAAGAAATTATAGCAAAGCCAGCATATACATTAAAGACAAGTGTATTCCCAAAAGAAAAAAATGCAACTCTGGTTTAACATAGAAATGATGCAACACAATTTTATATATTAGTAAAAGAAAACAATTATAGAACCATTTCAACAGATGTAGAAATTGTCTAACAAAACTCAACATCCATTCATGAAAAAAAAAAAAAGCTTTAGTGGAGAAGAAACCTCCTCAGCCTCATGAAGAATATTACATATGACTAGCAGGAATATCCTACCATGATCAGAGGCTTTCTGTTATCTTCATGGTGCTGATTCTCCTAATCCAAGAACATGATCCATTTTTCTATATGAGGAGTCTATGTCTCCACATGAAGCATGTCACAGTATGAGACACTGCCCCATATGAAATCTCTTCACATGAAGCATGCCCCCTTATGAGACGCCATCTCTCCATGAGAAGTGTGTCTCCACATGATACATGTCTCCAGGAGAAGCCTTCCTCCACTTAAGTGTACATAAATGTCTCTGAAAAAGCTTTATGTTTTTCCTCTTAGAGTGCTGTTATATTCTAGGACAAGCCTTGATAGTAAGCATCTCTTCTTTACTCCTAACACACAATCCAACCTCATTTATAAAATATATAACAGAAAAAAATTGTATCAAGAGGATAATGGAAGAAAGCATAGAGCGAAACCTTCACTACTATAAAGGGCAGAGCAGTGAAAAGAAAGTTTTGAGGAAGTGTCACATAATCCATTCCCATGGACTGGTAGCTATGCTTACTCTGTGACTATTTCATTACATAATTCCCATACTTTTCCTTTTATTGCTAATTTTTAGGTTGGAATAAAAGTAACGGGCGTCATCATGCCATCTCCATACACATCTACCACACATTATTCTCCAAACTTTAAAAGATAAGCACTCAATTTTTCTAGTTAGATTTTAAAAGGTGTTTAAAAATGTCTGGGATCATCATATTTGGTGGGTTACTTCAAAGTTTGTCTTTCCTTTTCCTTTCGTGTTTATTTTTGCCATTTTCCTTTGGTTATCCACGGCAGATGTTTACCAGTTGTACTGACAGTTCCAGAGCAGCAATACTAGAGCTGTGCTGCCTTTTCCTCTGAACTGCAACACTTCTCCCAGGGAAGGCCCATAATATGAAGGTGCCAAGGAAAACTGCAAGGGTCGGAAAGCTCAAGGTGTCAACAGATTTCCAAGATCCACTTTCATGGGCCAAGCTGCCTGTCAGCTGGACAAGGGACTTCAGGGATGCAGCATCTGTGCATCCTCACCAGGAAGAGGTGATCTTCTCCGTGAGGGGGCCACCTTTGAGTAACCTATGACCCTATTGTAGCCACATCAATTCATTGGCCCACCAGGCTGGACCGCACTGGAATGGCGCCTTTGCTGTTGATGCCCCAGAAAAAGTCACAATGCTCCCTGCAATTTGATGTGGATTTTAAATGTTTTCTATTTTACTAATTTCTCACTACTTTTCATTTTATGCCTAAAAAGAAGACTGTTTACTTTAATTTCCCAACATATTACTGCATTGCTCAATAATTATAATTATTC